TGGTGGCCGTCCCCGGTGTCGTGGCCGGTGGCAGGGCGGAGGTGTGTCCCCGGCAGTGTTGGGTACTGCAGCACAGCACTCGGATTTTGTAGTTGTGGCACATCTTGAACATGCCGTCCTGCTCCTCGTTCCAGCACACCAGGCCGAAGCGCACGTGGCAGTGCACCCTCTGGCCCACCTGCTCCAGCGTCCAGTTGGGGAAGTTCGTGGCCTGGCACTGTATGTCCTGCGGCCGCTCGCAGATGTCCCGTCCCGCACCCCTGATTTTATCGTAGGATTCGATGTCCCCACCAGCCCTTTCAGACTTGGGGTAATCCTCATCAAACCACTCTGTCCACTGACATCGGGGCTGACAGGTGGTGGTACCTGGGCCCACGGTGGGCAGGCTGGGCCTGGTCTGGGAGGTGAGGGCCGCCGTCGACGGGGAGCTGGGCACTGCTGGAGGGGTAGTCCCCTCCGTTACCCTGGTCTGGGTGGAGGGGGATCTGGGGGGCTCTGCAGTGGTGCCGGGGGAGGGCTGGGGGCTGGTGCCTGGGGCTGGGGAGGGGCCGCAGGGCACGTAGTCGCAGCACAGAACTCGCAGCTCGTAGTTGAGGCAGAGTGGGGGGCTCTGCTCGCTGTTGACACACGTCAGCCCCCGCGTGCGGTCACAGGCCACCTTCTGGCCCAGCTCCTGCAGGGGTGTGTGGGGAAGCCCCTCCGCTCGGCACTCGATGTCGGCCGGCGCGCTGCACACCTCGTACCCCTTCTGCCTCAGGCTCGCAAATGTTTCAAAGTCTCCACCCCCCTCGCCCGGCTCAGGACGGACGCCGTCGTACCAGGCGGACCAGCGGCAGACCTCACGGACACACACGGTGGAGAGGCTGGGCACGGGGCCTGGGAGGGGCGGAGAGGGGCCCTCGCTCAGCCTCTGCTTCTCCTTGCTTCGCAGGGAGGAGGCGACTGCGGACCCTTTCCCCGGGCCCCGCGGGCCTCCCCTGGCCTCCTTGAGGGCCGTTTCCGATTTTGAGGGAGTGGCTGGGGTGGGCTGTGCTAGGGACGGGACAGGGTCGGGAAGGTTTTATTGTCCCTAGGGGGCAGTCCTGTTAGTCACTGTGCCTCCTGGGGAGCTCCTGGAGACACGCAGGCAGTAGGGGCCTGGGGAGGCAGGTCGGCAGGTTTGGGCCCAAGGAGTCCCTGGCATCTGGGCCTCCTGCACCGGGTGCCCTGCGGGTCTCTCCTGGGAACCCAGATGTGGCTGGGCCTCGGGACAGCCAGGCGCAGCTTACCCGTCGTGGGGAGGGGCGTCGAGATGGTGGTGAAGGTGAACGGCGGCGTTGTGGACGGGGTTCCGGGACATTCCACGGTCCTCCGGATAATCGTTCCATTGTCTCCACAGATAGCGCTCAGGCAGCCGCCGAGGCCGTCTGTCGTGTTGTAGATGACGTCTCGGTAGCCGTAGGTCCTGCCCTCGTAGGTGCACGTGCAGGCTGGTGCGGGGCAGGCATCGGTCACGGAGCGCCCCAGCCCCCGGCCCCGCCGGACCCACCCAGCCCGCCCGCCCCGCCTTACCCTCAAGGCTGTGAGTGCACCGGATGCCGCTGGGCGTGCAGTTGCTGGGAGGAGGGGAGAGCGGAGCTGAGCGCCTGGTGGGCAGCCCCCCCGGCCCCTCCCCAGCACCCCCACGCCCCACCCCACGCACCAGCTCTGGCAGTTCTCCGCCGCGGGGACCCTCGAGCCAACATCGTAGTATCTCTCGTCTTCGTCGTAGCAGCCACACCAGGCCACACACCTCATCTGGTCCTCGCTGAAGAAGGGCTTGCTGGGCGGGCACTTTGGGTAGCAGCCTAAGCACGGCGGGAGAAGGCCACTATGTAGCCTGGGCCGGCCCGGTGCTGCCCAGGGGCTCGCCGTGTGCTGGTCCTTGGCCCTTGCCCCCGTGCACGCTGCAGGGACCCAGGGAGGTTCCCCCCAGGACAACCCACCCCTCACCTTCCAGGCTGGGCAGGTCGACCAGGCAGCGCCCACTGGGGTTCCGGCAGGTTCGCAGGCAGGGGGCCCCGCAGGGCTGGTAGTGCCACTCACACTCCCCGTGTGGGTTGTAGTAGTCGCAGAACAGGGCTGGGCAGGGGGGCAGAGCCTCAGGGGGTGCCTGCTGGCCCTCCCCAGAGTGTGCACGGGCAGCCCCGCCACACCGGGCTGAGTGCCCAGGGCAGTCCCGGGCTGGTCCCAGGCGTCAGGGCCTGCGGGGCTGGCCGGTGCTCTGCCCTTGGAACTCCTGTCCCTGAGGAGCCATCTCGGGGGGAGCGCCCCGTCCGGTGTTTTTGCACAAGTCTGCATTTGTGCATATGGATGTGCATACATACGTGTAGACCCACACGTGTTTGGTGTCTGTGTACGTGTGCGGGTCAGGCCCCGGGAGACTGCTCTGCCTGCCCCTGCCTCCCGCCCCCCTTCAGCACCACGGACAGAGCCCCACTCACGGCAGACGTCCGGGGTCCTCCAGGACACGCAGAGGCCAGCGTCGCGGCAGGCCTGGGCGTAGGCGGCCACGGCCGTGCAGAAGCACTCGCAGTCGCCCCCCGAGTCGCAGGCGCACGCGTCGCTCACACAGGCCTCGTAGTACTTAGTGGAGTCCACCTGGGGGCGGGGCCGACATGTGGCTCAGAGAGGAGGACACGTCCCACCCCCGGCCAGGGGTCAGCTGGCCTGAGTGAGT